GGGCTGGGGAGGGAAGATGGAGGGGAGCGAGGCGGGAGGCGTGTTGGTGGGGACGGGGTTGGGGAGGGAAGATAGAGGGGAGCGAGACGGGAGGCGCATGGGTGGGAGGGAAGATGGAGGGCCAGGGGAGCGAGACAAGAGGCGCATGGGTGGGGACGGGACCTGAAAAGGCTGCTCTGGGTGGGGCAGTGCACAAGTAGAACGAAGCATGGGTGGGGGTAGTGCTGGTCCAGCTTCGCGGAGGGACGTTGGGAGGTGAATGGAGCGGTGTTGCGGGGCTTAGGTATGGTCTTGGGTGTCCAGAATGTGCACAATGCCTGCGACAGGCAATGTTGCGTTGAGCACATGGTCGCATCACAAACATCATGGTAGGCCGCTCCGGGTCAGCGCACAAGTAGAACGAAGCATGGGTGGGGGTAGTGCTGGTCCATGCTTCGCGGACGTGTGTTGGGTGGTGGAGCTGAGTCCTGGTATTATGATAAATGAGTGGACAACATCTCTGGCGAACGAGGGGCCTCTTGGTCATTGGTCAGAGATGGTCAGGTGAGATCATTCGCCCATAGACTTTGTCCAATCCTCATATGCCAATCCCATGGAGAACACCCTACAATCGACATCACTTGCGAGAACCTCTTGATCTCACTCAGTTACAATATGTTGCAATCCATCATATCATATCTGCAAGAGGTCCCAGAGTCGAAGATGCGGCATGATCCCAGTTCACGACCTCGCTCTTCAGACCCAAACCTTCTGAGGACCCCTTCTTCTCGCTGGTTTCCTGCAACTTCCGAAAGAACTCCTCTGCAAGACATCGGTCGCCACGGCGCATGGCCTCCAAAGCATGTTCTGCGGATGTTTCACAAACAAACAGCCAGGAAGCATCCTGGAACTTTTGGACCAAAGCGCGGTCAGTTGCAAGACAATCTGAGTTGGGACATACGAGAGTCCACTGGAAAAGAATTCAGAATGCTTACTCTAAATATCTCCAAATGCTCGGTGTCTGGACTGATTGTAACCAAGTCATACTGACACGACTGCGCAGCTCGCTACGTCAAACCATCGGACGGCTTATGTTTTCTGACAGGAACACGGTACTTGTATAACACGGTCCATCTTTCCTAAGGACATCCGGTTTTTGGACTTTCGTTTCCTCCAGGGGAACATGGAAGCACTACATTCATGGAAGTGGACCCCTCCCGGGCTCATGCCATCCGAGAGTACTCCAAATCGTTGCAGTCAGCTCGCTCGGACAGTGAGTGAAACGCACCGTGTAAGGCCGGTCAAATGCGGAGACGGGTCAACCTGGAACCCTGGTCCACCGGGTCCAAGAACTAGAAGCTTCATTGGCATATCTTCTACCTCTTGTTGAAGGCTCCTTCATGCTGAGTCCCTGGAGCCCCCCGGTGACGGATCTGGGGGGATCGCCGCGAGCTCGGGATGGATGGGCGTTTCCTGGTGCCATGACTGCCATGACCCACAGCCATGCCTCCTGCAAGGATTGATGCTGCTTTTCGACCTCCTCTGAAAGCTCTGTCTTGACACTCACCAACGAAGCATTCAAGTCCTCAAGGCCCAAAGCAAAGGACGACGAGGTCGGGGCGTTGGGGGTCACCAAAAGAACTGGATGCGGTTGACGGTCGATTCATTTAAACCAAAAACTGCGATAATGGTTTTACATCCAGAGTATGGGGGTTTTATTGACCTGTCTACATTAGCAGCTGACTTCCTGCGAATCTATCCGTTTTTAAAACGAATTGTTCAATATGAGTATTGCCTTTGCAGTCTTGTGCCACAAAACCAAAAACAACAAACTGTTTCCAGGCTGGGCAGTTCAGTCAAAACAATGCACTCATACACTACGAGCGCAAGTCCGTGACTCCCAGGATTTCGCACTCTGGACACAATGGACAAAAGGAATGCTTTCCCAACGCTTTGATCAAGAGAGAGCTCAGTGAATGACTCCAGTAATCCGCCAAGGCAAGGAGCCACGCTTCCCACCCCAACAGGGGATTTGCGTTGATTATGCGACACTAAAAGTTGACTTCCCCCCCCCCTGCCATGATGAAAAGGCGCCAACCGCCGCACGACCTTCCCAAGGGGTGGCACATGATAGATATTTATGCAACCCCCCCCAGACCTACTTTTTGATGTCACATGGATACAAACACTTGTAGCGCAAGGATGGATACAAACATGGAGGCAGGTGGGATTATGTGGGTCATCCTGGGTCATGTGTCATCCACTGTTCTATGGGCGAATTGAGCGCAATCTTCCAATTACCCTGAGCTCTACCAGCAAGACGTCGTAAGTATGCATCGTCAACACTGCCCGTGTGTCATATGATGTCGCAAGGTGGCAAAGGCTGTCAATCAGTGATGCGACCCTTGAAATCTTTTGAAAGCACAAACTTTTTCACATGAAGCGATGTGAAAGCATGCAAGAACCATCAAAACATATCAAAGCCAAGGCTACTACATGCTACTACTGTTGATGGTGACCACTGATGAACGAAAGCAAAAGATTGTTGACATATAAGAATTTATAGGGACTATATGGAGTCATATTTTAACTAAAAATACTCGTTATATAAACAAAATGAAACAATTAGACAAACTTGGCCCTGTGATGTGAGGAGATATGAGATGATATGAGGGGATATGAAGGGCACCTATTGCCACCATGGTTCAGCCATTGCTTCATGATTGTTCATGTGTTCTCTGTCAACATCTGTTGAGGGATGTTGAGAGGAACTATCAAAATCAATCAAGAACATCCAGGCTTTTGCAAGCACATGGAGGCAGTGGTGACACGTGATGACAATTAGGCATTAAGTGGCATCCCAGGTTCCTACTTTGCAACGCTGGTTGATGTTCAACCACTATCTTTTAGGTATCGCCAACAACATACCATCTGTGTGCCGGTCTTGACCTCGATGTTGTGGTGTCGATGACAATGTTGTGACATCGATGACAAGGTTGTGAAATCGATGACAAGGTTGTGACATCGGTGACAATGTAATTTTGTGAAATCAATTGACCCCCACCCCTCCCCATTTTAATTACACGACTCATCGGTGACAATGTTATGATGTCGGCGACAATGTTGTGACACCGATTTATCCCCCCCCCCACCCCACCCCACTTTTAATCACATGACTAATCGATGACACTGTTGTGATGTCGATGACAATGTTGTGACTTTGAGACTATTTTACCACTGAGAAACACAGTACGGTAAATGCATGTAAATACCCCGCACCACGCATGTTTTACTTATAAATGTTCGAAACCATGAACAAATACCATAGAACATGCTCATGGCCGTTCTGCGACGCCCCAGTGGCCCAGACACAGAAAGTGCTGTAAATACCACGCAGAAGGTGCCAGTGCTGTGCTCGAAATCCACCCCCGGCGCGTCCAACGACACACTCGCGGCGCCACTCGGAGGGCGCCGGTCACCGGGAGCGCTCCCCCCATCGCCCGTCGGAGCTCCTGGACCTGTCGCTGGATCTTATCTCGAAGGACTTCGATGGCCTGGACTTCGGCCGAAAAATGGAGGACGTGGTTTTTGTTTGGAAGACAGGGTAGAATCTGATGTCTGACTCTTACTGTGTTCTCTTAACTTTTGGACTAATGGTCTATTTGTATCATGTTGTATCCACCAAGAAAGACATGCGGATGATTCAAGCATCTTCGATTCGCATCGATGCGCCACACCATTCAAGCGCTCCGAGACATCGTTCCGGGCTCTTTGACGCCACGCGTTTTCACTCGACGTTCATGGCAGGCCGGTGTGACCCACCATGCGATCAATGCCAAGTCATGTTGACAGTTGATTAACCAAAACCCCAATATGAAGAGCTTGTTCAATTCAATCGGGGTGGGCTTATTAATCAAGAGATATCAAGAGTCTACATTAATGCTGACAGTTGATTGATTTACCAAAACCCCAATATGGAGATGAAATAGAACCATTCGGACTTAATCAACTGTATGATTTATGAGTCATCTTCTCCCGCACCTCCTTGCATGCTTCCACGCTCTTTGCTTGGGAGCTTAGCCGATCCTGGCTCAGTATCACCGTGTGCCATGATAGTGATCCCGAAAACACATGGAATGGACAACAAATTCAATAGTCTTTGCATCGCTGGGGTCAAGGAGAATAGCAGAAGATCAGAACATCCGTAGATTTGCAGCAGCAATTAAGGGCGCTCGCAGCCTCTCATGGAATGCATTGGAATGCGAGGACATGTTTTTCCAGTCAGCGATGACAAAGTGACTGTCACGCAGGCCTAAGGCATAAGCTCCACCATACGTTCTGCGTTCTTTGAGCTGTGATTGGTGTTGTCTTTCTCTTCTCGGTGTACAAAGTCCTCGTTGCTAATCTGTTGGAGTTCTTGTAGCAATGGATCTTCGACCAAGGCCAAGCTTAGTGACCCAACCATCCACGTTACGATTGTAGGTCCCAGGATAGTTCTAGCAGGTTTGGGTTCCCAGTCAGCTGAAGTTCCAAAGAGCTATACATGTCTTCTGGTGTTTTTTGCTTTGTGACCTGTGCCACATGTGCAACACATGTTTGGAAACTTGGTCTGCTCGAAAAATGAACCAGAACAAGTCTTGTGTGGTTTGATTGCATGTTGGACTTTGGAAGAATGAAGGCAAACAAAAGTACAAGTAACCTGGACAATCTCTTAAGAATACCTTCAGTGCACTGTCAGGCGCTTTTTGTCGTGCATCATCTACAAGTATTTCAAATTTTTGTGTGTGTGATCCATAGTTGATCATAGTTGAACAGTTGTATCATTCATCTTATATCAAGTTATATCAGCTTTCGATGGCTTTTGTACTCTTTCGAGCTGGCAGCCGCACCGTTTCCAAACATTGAGGTGGCTTATCAGCTTATCCCAGACACGTCGCAACTCTTCATCCAGTTGGTGACAGTTTCCTTGACTGATCGCTGGGGCTCTTCCGTGACGGCGCGAGTCTTCCGTGACGGAAGACGACTGCGCCGCACGCGTGCCGCCGCCTCGAGGATTTCTCCATTTGAGAGTTGATCCTTGCTCTGTCGCGCGAGCCTTTCCACCTGCCATCCGGTGCGAGTCGAACGATGTTCGTTCCGAATCTTGCAGGGTCGAACGGTTGGTGTCTGGACATATGAATTATATGATCGAATCATATATTATATAATCATATATATATGTATCATGGTGTGATCATAATGATATGTTTTCTACTGTAGACATATGATATTGATTGATATTGTATGATCACATATGCCATTGAATATTTGTCCAGAAACCACACCAGTGCTTCCAGCTTCCACTTCCATGAACCTCATATTCTGCCATAAGGCATTCCAGTTTCACAGTTCACGCAGAGTCCTTCACCATATCATATATCATACCGAGAGAGTCTGAGTGTCCTCTCCAACCTAACGAAGCTGCCCTGCTTGCTAAACCACTGGTCTCTCGCACCTTGGTCTCCAACTGTTGACATAGAATTGCCAGTCGAAGCCTCGGCGATTCTGGAAACTCCGTTCGGCACGTGCGGCACTCTGCTTGCTCGTTTCGGCACTTTCGCATCACTCGTGGCCGCCTTGGCCTTGCATACATAAATGAATACCTTGCATCCCTGATGCTGGTGATCCCCTTGTTCCGCTCACCGTTTAATGCTCCAAATGAATGCATTTTGGATGGAATAGGCCATATGCTGGGTGGTTGGTATTCCAAAGGTTGTTGCTATAATATACAGAGACATGTGCTCCAGCGGCCCACACCCAGCTTCACGTCGTTCACTGGCCATCTCAAAGGCTTCTTCCAGCTTGGCCTGCACCTAGCCCAGTGAGGATTCAGTCATCAAGAAAACACTGTTTTTACTCAGCTCCACCTGTGATTCGATAACAAAAGGATGGGCTTGCAGTATCTCATCAATTGGAGGCAGTTGGGGGACTAGTTGGGCATATTGAAGGGTTTTAAGGACCGGGCATACCTGAGCATTCCCAAAGGACACTGCATTCTTTGGATGCCTTGACATGAACCCTATAGAATCCCTAGAAGAGCCCACAATGCCTACTGACATGTTTGATGCTTCTTCATGCTTTTCCACCGAACGATCCATCACCCAGCGAACGAGCCGAGCTTGCGCTGCCGCAGCCAGCGCAGAAGCGCGGCGCTTCTGTTGCAGCGGTGAACTTGTGCCTCTTTCCGGTGCTCCACAAACTCATCCCAGTGGGCAAGGAAACGACCTTCGGCGTTCACTGCCACCCGGTGCCTCAGTTTCACTGCCAGGTTCTTTTGGTTTCTCTCACATTTTGGATTTACTCAAATTATCTCAGACTGTCAAACAGAGCTGTGATTCGGCATGTGTGTTCACGGCGCGGCTACTCAAAAGCGTTGACGTTAATTGTTTGATGCATTGCTGGCTTTGATTACTCTGGCTGATCCTATCAAAGCACAGGCACATGTAATTCATGCATCTCACAAAGACAAGGCAGAAGGCGGCCCTGATATGGTATCGCTGATATATATATATATATCTATATATGCTACCCCCCCAAAAAAAAAATCAAACAAATTTCTTGCTTGTATGTGAGAGTTGTTTTTTTCTGTATATAGGTGGTCCATCCCGTCCACCCTCGATCCCCAAAAATAAAGAAGTTGTTCATTTATTTTTGGCCGCCAGGAAGTACAAATTAATTTCAAATAACTCTTGACCACCAATTTTAATATATATTAATTGGTGGGGCTATCGGCTAGCATATATTACTATTTTGGATGGTTTTTACATTATAGAAAATTTCTCATGTACAATATAAAAGCCATTAAATATGTTGACCATTAATTTCCTCCACATGCATTCTTCATTACCAAACAAAAAGGCTGCCGTCAATAAATTAATGGTCAACCAATAACAAAATACTAGCCTAGCAATTGACCAGACATTAATATCTAATTTAAATAATGCCCTCATGATTATAGATTAAAGAAATAGATTAAAATATACCATGAACTTTAAAGAATGAAAAGATTTTGAGAAAATCATTGGCATCATCCAAGAACCACCAAATTAAAATAAATAAATGGTGGGCATCCTATCCTTATAGCTCTAGAAAATACCATGAAAGATAGAATGCTTCTTGGATGATTTGTCCTTGGCAGTTAATGGTCAATAATTCTTTGTAATAGACGGTTATCTGTAAAATCCAGTAACTGCCATATCTTTCATTATTTGTTCATTCCCTTTATTTTATTATCCAATAAAATACAGGATCATTCACTTTCTTTCATTCTTTCTTAGAATTCAATGAGCCCATGTTTCTTTTATTTTACAGTAAATGGGCGGTCAATGGCTAGTTCTTTATTTTTTATGGATCATGCACCATTATTGTATTATTTGTGATCGCGGTTGTCTTTTCTTTATTGGTGACTCTAGGCACTTTAAAAGAAATAATGGTGCATAAGATAGAAATAAATAGGCTTAGAATGTTCTTAATAAAAAATGACTTTTCTATAAAAATATAAGCCAAATATTAAGATGTAGAAGCCTAGCCGATAACCTGCCTTTCATAATTAAATAAAAGAAAGGCATCATGAAATATAAAGAAATGACAAACATGAATGATCACCTTAAAATTAAGGGAGAATAAGTGAATAAGATATAATTTTAATGGTGAGAATGAATAACAGAATGAATCCATAAGATACAGATAAGAAGATAAAAAATGTAATGTCAAGATACGACCATAAGATAGAAAGTTGTCTACAGGAAACTGACCACCTATCCAAATAAAAGAAAAATGAATAAGAAACCAAAAGCACAAATAAAAACATTAAACCTATTCGTGAAAAATATTACAATATAGAATGAAAGACTTCGCATAAAGTAAAATCAGATGAAGATAGCAGTAAATAGTATAATGAATCCTGCATGTTTATTTGGCACAGCTTTTAACATAGCATATTGGCATAAGAAATGCCATTCAGGTACTATATGTAAAGGAGTAAGTAATCCACATGCTTCTAATGCATTATCTGGATGTGAGAAAGAAGAGAAACCGAAATGAATTTGAAGAAGATATAGATAGAGAATTAATATCTTTCCATAGAAATCTTTACTAATAATGAAAGGGAAAAATACTATTTTATTATTAGTGGAATTACTTAATGGATTATTAGAAGATAGAAAATGTAGATTAAAAATATGATAAAGAAGAAAACCACAAAGAAGAAATGGAAATAGAAAATGAAAGACAAAGAACCTCTTCAATGTAAGATTGTAAACATAATCTCCTCCACAAAGCCATTCTATAAAAGATGGAAATGGAGATAACAAATTTGTAATTACTGTAACACCACATAAACTCATTTGTCCTAAAGGTGTAAGACATAACCCATAAATGCTGTTGCCATTAATAAGAATATAATATCACACTTCCAGAAAACCAAGTATTGGCATTATGGGGCCTCTGGGGGGTGCATAAATTTGTGACTTTTTGAGCCGGCCAAGGAATTTGCTATTTTTGTCTACCCCACCTCGCAAAAACACTGGCAGGCTCAAAACATAAAAAATCAAAAGCCCATAATTTCGAAGTGGCTGAGTCCCACTAACAGTGAGCACAATCGATGAGCACAAAAGCAACACCAGGAAAATTGAAAAAAAAAGGTCTGGGTCCAATCAAATCTCCCATGCACTGCAAAGACTCTCCTGCTTTCATTTTGAAATGTGGGGCTGGTCCCGGCTGGCCTGGGCTAGTGGCTCTGCTTTCATTTTGAAATGTGGGGTTGGTCCCTGGCTGGTTTGGGCTGGTGGCCCTGCTTTCATTTGGAAATGTGGGGCTGGTCCCTGGCTGGCCTGGGCTGGTGGCTCTGCTTTCATTTTGAAATGTGGGGCTGGTCCCTGGGCTGGTGGCTCTGATTCTCGATTTCGTCAAATCTGGTGCTAGAATTCGTCAAATCCGGTGCTCGATTTCGCCAAATCTGGTGCTCGATTTCGTCAAATCTGGTGCTAGAATTCTTCAAATCTGGTGCTCGATTTCGCAAAACCTGCTGATTTTCTGGAAATTCTGCCCAGGGCGGAGACACAATCCAACTCAAACTCAAAAATCACTTACTGGCTGGTGCTCGAATTCGTCAAATCTGGTGCTCGAATTCGTCGAATCTGGTGCTCAAATTCGTCGAATCTGGTGCTCAAATTCGTCAAATCTGGTGCTCGAATTCGTCAAATCTGGTGCTCGAATTCGTCAAATCTGGTGCTCGATTTCGTCAAATCTGGTGCTCGATTTCGCCAAATCTGGTGCTAGAATTCGTCAAACCTGGTGCTAGAATTCATCAAATCTGGTGATTCTTGTGGTGGTCCTTGGTGGTGCTTGATTTCGTCAAATCTGGTGCTAGAATTCGTCAAATCTGGTGCTCGATTTCGTCAAATCTGGTGCTCAATTTCGTCAAACCTGGTGCTTCTTGTGGTGGTCCTTGGTGGTGCTCGATTTCGTCAAATCTGGTGCTAGAATTCGTCAAATCTGGTGCTCGATTTC